TTTGGACTATTTTGTATTACAATTTGCTGCATTGTTTTCTTTACGAAGTTTCTTTATCACATACTTATATTGTTTTCTTTATCGCATACCTATATGATGTACTGTGTTATTGTAAACTAGACCTGGGAAAAATATCAATTTAACATATAATATCGATATTTTTAAATATCGAAACTATGATATTTTAAAATAATCCTCAAGTTATGTCAGCAATACCATATCTTAGGATAAATATGTAACAATCCAAACATTTCTTCTATGCAATTACAGTAAACAATTCAGCTTACCTTTGGGTAATTTTGTATTACAACTTCCTGCATTGTTTTCTATACGAAGCTTAATGTACTGTGTTATTGCAAACAAGACCTGGAAAAAATATCAATTTAACATTTAATATCGATATTTTTAAACATCGAAACTATGTTTTTTTTTTAAAAATAATCCTCAAGATAGGTCAGTAATACCATAACTTAGGATAAATATCTAATATACTATAATATTGCGATCCTTGCCAACAACAATAGATATGGATTACTATAAGATCAATAGTATTAATAAAAATTATAATTATCGAATATCATGGTAATGCACCATTATATTGTGATCCTTATTGACAATAATAGATATAGACTACAGTAAAATCACGTGTAATAATAATAACGATAATTATTCAATATTATACTAATATACAATAATATTGTGGTCCCGATACGATAATATTAATTGATTCTTAATAAGATACGATAGTATTGTGACAACAATTAATACAGACTACTTAAAGATCATAAGTATTAATAATAACGATAATTAGCAATTATGATTTTATATTGCAAGTTTTGATAAATTTCATTAGTGTCAAGAGAATAAGTAAGAATATTGTAGATAAGCAAAATTAAAAAAATTAACGTGACATATTGGGAAATATAAATATTTTTGAACCATGTATTGCAGTAAACATATTTTGATTATGTCAACATTATTGCATACGTCATTGTTATCGAGCACATGCGATATACGTGATAGTAAAATCTGTGGAATCGAAAGCCCTGTGGTCAGTTGCATGGGTTCATGGATCTGGTGGCTCCTCTAGATTTAGGTCTAAATTGAAGAATTGCCACGCGAATAAGTGGTGCTGATATCTATCTATGGGGTTCTTAGCTAAGACGTACTCTCACCCTTGCGGTGCTCTCTTGTCAAACGAAAGGCGCAATTAATTCATGAAAGGCCAATGGCTGGTGACTTTGGCCTGTCCTAGTTTCATTAGAAGCAACAACATCTCCTTTGTTAAGAGATTGTGATAAGTAACAAGTTTTTTTGCAAATATATTTTCCAATTTTGCAATTTTAAGGATAAGTTTCTCTTAACGCTCTCCAAACGTTCTCTAAAGGCTATATTATAATATCGCTACCACTAACTATGCCAATTGAGTTTCACTTTTTGTCAATATATTTTAAACCGAACTTTTCTTTTAAGTATCAAAGAAATGTGTGAGAAAAAAAAACTTATGTAAAAGTTCTGGATTTTTCAGGATAGTTTGCGAAAGAATAATTTCAGTTAATAAACTGCGGTATATCAGTTTTTTTAATGATGTTTTAATTAAATCCAATAAATTTGAAAAAGGACATTGCGAAGTGAAGTAAAAATTTTATAATAATTAGAAAATAAAAAAATTAAAAAAAATTTGGAAATATATTCAAATAGTTTAATATATTAAAAATAAATGTTTACGATTAACCGATTAACATTAATTTTGCTAATTTAGCAAAACAGTTGATAAGTAAACATCCCAAGCGTTCTTTTTCAAAAAAAATTAAAAGGGTTTTTAAGGAAAAAAATAATGTCACACGTTTATAATTAATTAAATAGATAGCTGGATAAATTCCGTTAAATTAAAACCTTCCAATGATTTCTTTTTCATTGCATAGAAATTATTACTTTAAACTTTGTTTACAAAGCTCTGTGAATAAATTAATAAATGTTCACATTTTTTTCTTTGAAATTTTTCATTTTATTTTTTTCATTAAGTTTGAAAAAAAATATTAAACTTTTTAAGGAATTTTTTTTTCACTGTTATAGTTATTTTAAAGATGAATAAATTTCGTTTAATTTAAACTTGCTAATAATTTGATTTTTATATGGAAATTATTACTAAAAATTCTGTTTTGAAAGCTTATCAAATAAAGTAAAAAAATTATTTGATTTTATTTTTCTTTAATTATAAACGTTTATTTAATTCTATGAACCAATTTCATTAATATATTTTAAACAGTTTTAAAATATATAATTACCAATGTAGCTTGATTTCCCCTAAGCTAACATTTTCGTTTTGTTTGTAAATTTTATCACCTAACTTCAAATGGAAAGAAGATGAATTTTAAAAATTAACAGGTTTACGCTTTATTGCTTTAATTATATAAAGCAATGCATTTCGTTAGTGAATGGAAATGTGTACGCATGACAGCGCATTTAAATAATTACATTAATTATTCAAGTTATTTTGAAGAAATAAATAAATTTCTCATTACTTTATGCAGATATATCGTAATCTCGTATCGTGCTTTATTTCTGTCCTTAGGGGCGAATGTCTTTATAGAGATTGTTTATTTGTGGCTTTTCTAATTTTTAAGTTCAGTTATGTTGAAAATAAAGTGTTTTTTTTTATATTTCATTAAAATTTAATGATTTCATTTCCAATTTAAATCGAGGTTTTCTAAAATAATTTAAGATAATTCGAAATGAATTAGTTTTCTTTTTCTCCTTTACTTTTCTTTATTATTTTTGAAATTCAGATAGGATTTTGCAATTCGAATTTAAAAATATCTCAAGCACGTAGTTTATATAAATTGTTTGTCGCTATCTCATTGTGTGTTCTCTAATTATGTCATTGCCTATCATTTTCTATGAAAAAAATGCGGTTTAATACATTAATTAAAGTGAGAAAAAAGTTATTTGGTTCTAATCTAAGAAGTTAAAGTCATTATTAATTATGATCGGGCATTAATAAATTTTCATTATTTATTACAATAATTGGAAATTTGTAACTCACTTATAACATTTTCATGTACGAAATTACTAATATGATGTACCTATTAATAGGATACGCCGACATTACTATAGATTATACATTGAGACGAGAAACACATAATGGTCAAAAATACCAGATTATGGTAAAATTTACCGTGTTTGTGACTCGATGGGGACACCAAAAACCTTGGTAATTTTTACCGAAACGCTTCTTTATTGATTTTTTTTAAAAAAGAAATAAAGTATAGTTTTATAACGTGTGATAAAATTTGGTAAATGAGGTCAAATTTTGTAATTTTATCATGATACTTTAGAGCATGGCGTAAAAACCATTTATTCAGCTAAATTAACCATTCAGTCTTGTATTTTTTTACAAAATGAGTGGTAATAAAAAAAGTTTTTTTAAAACCAAAATTTCTGACAAACCGTTACCATATGGACGGAAAAATTTCAAAATAAATGGTTTAAAGGCAGTATATTTTCATTACCAGAATTGTATTTTATAACCATCGTTGAACAGCCGACCCAGTTTTGTGCTCACTGCAACTAAAGTTCAACTCCGTAAGGTTGAAATTTTGAACCCAATCCAGAAGGCAAGGGCAGTTCTGGATCAAGTATCGAGAATAATTTGCCTTCGTGGAGGATATTTTGATGGAACTAAACCGCAATTGCGTTACATGGAGAGAAAAACCACGAGGGTTAAATTATTTTTGCCTTACCAAACCTGAAACATTTTAAATTATGAATAAAAATATGTTTATTATTTTCAGTAATCTAAGTAATTAAGAGATTGACATTGCCCGGTTTACCCTGCACTGATATTTTTTTTAGGTTATGTGTCATCTGCAAGGTGTATGTTAGTCAAGTATACCCAATGCTGATTTTTTAAGGTTAATTACCACTACATATTTTACTCTCTATAATAAGGTGAAGGGCTGTCTTCGTGGTCCCAAATTCACCCATCGTGATTGTTCTACTGCCTACTTTAACGGAACAGTAATAAAAACAATTTAAAAACATTAAATCTAAGATATTTTAGTAAATATAACTGTAAGAATATAATTTTTGGTATCTAACATGTTTTCAGATTTTGATAGTTCTTTAAGATTATGTCCGATGGTTATAGAGTTTTTTACTTCCTCAAGAACTGCTTTTATCTTTTTTTCAAAAAGACGCATGGTGGTATTTTATTCATTAGCAATGTACTTTAAATTAGTCATAATTGCCAAAATATTATTATATCACATATTATAATTTTTTCACAAATATTATAACAACAGTATGTCTGCTACTAAAAGCAAAGTGGTTAAAATAACCTTAATAACCGTAACTGTGAGTTAATGTTTATTTACAGTAGAGACTCTAAAAATTCTTATTTACCAGATATAAGAGTCAATGGATAATTTGTTTCTTCCAAAATTTTTAGAATATACACTCATAAAAGTTGGCTCTACGTTGACCTATAATATAGGTATATGGTACCATAATACGGTACAAGTTTGCTGCAACAGGTTTGCTGAACGGTACATTTGCACAATATTAGAATGATTTTGTAAATAATTAATGCTATTTTTATTGCGCATGCGCAAAAATTTCCTAGTGTATGGCAATAATGATAAGGTATGGACGTAAGGGCAGCGGTACGGTTAACTGAACACAAATGCTATGCAAAATCACTCAAGTATGATTAAACTTGGATCCTTATTAAGGTTGCTGCAAGCTTGAGCGACATGTTAGTTCAAAACGCTTCGAAATTTTGCTCAGAGTGAACAATTTGTTTCGACGATGCATGTGGTTCGTCTGTGAAACAAATGAATTTTCGTGCTACACGTGTTTCATGTGTGAGAAACACGGTTTTCAGTTATACATGTGTTTCATGTCTGAGACACGCATATTTCGGTGGTATAAAAAGCAAGCACATCATAAATACAATCATCTATTACTAGTAAATGTACTAAATTTTTTCTTTTTTTTAGGAACACCTGGTTATAAAGGTGAAAAGGGGGATTTAGGAGATCGTGGACTTCCAGGCCAGCCTGGACCAAGAGGACCAAATGGTTTCCCTGGACTTCCTGGACCGGTTGGTCCAAAAGGTAGTTAGAACGAATAAAAATTTAAAGTTTATGGTTTTCAAGAACATCAAAAATTATATTAAACATTTAATATTCTATATAACTACACCTGACACAAATCCTGCTGAAATTTTGAAAGAATTTGTATACCAGTTCTCTTTAAAACAGCTTTAAAATATTTTTTTAAAGTTCTTTGATCTTTCGATGATCATAAAAATAAATAAAATATATTTTTACATGTTTTCAATTGAAGAACCATCCTGAAATCCCAAAACATATTTTTTTTCTGACGGTATACGAAAAATATAATACAAATAATATTCTAGAACAATTTTTCTTAATTCAAATCATAGAGAATTGCGCCATAATAAGATTTTTAAAACTATCCAACTATTAAGTTGTATGATATCACATCAGTAACATTTGTGAGTCTTGTTTATTATTGTTTCAGTTGATGCATTTTTAAAGTTCAGGTTTTAAATCTGACATAAAAGTAAGAGCTTTTAAAATCTAACTGCAATGAAAACTCTTGTTTCATATATAAAATGAAAAATATATGGAAAAATAAGAGTTCAATGTTTTCGATGGCTGCAAATCTTTAGAAAAAATGTCAAAATAAAGTTTAAAAAAATAGCGCTTAGTAATAAATGCTGTTCATTAAAGTTATGATTATCTCTTCTACGGTTTACAAACCAATATAAGCAATGTTTACAAACCAATATAAAAATCTGGTATCATTTAACAAGAAATTGCTTTTTTTTTTTAAAATGCAAATTCTCTCAAGTTATTTAAATTTTGATTTTTGTTAAGAAGTGAAGCAATTTTTTTAATACAAAAAATTTAACAATTAAAGAAATAAAAAAAGATTTTACGGAGATCTGAATGCACAATTTAGAAAACATTTTTAATATTTAATCCATGAAACCATAATCTTATAGGTGAATCCGGAATGTCTGGAATTCCCGGATTAGATGGTCGAGATGGAATTCCTGGGGAACCTGGTTTAGATGGTGTTCCTGGTCGAGATGGAATTGATGGGATACCTGGGCGTGATGGCATTCCTGGTTTACATGGAACTCCTGGAAGACCAGGAACAAATGGCACTCACGGTTTGTATATTGATATTTTTGTCGATGAATATGTTAATGAAGAGATTCATATCGGCTTGCACCAATTATATATATATATATATATATATNTATATATTACGCTATTACGCACATTCATATATTATCTCCATGTGAATATATATATATATATATATTACATATTACATATATTACATATACATATATATATTACATATTACATATATTACATATACATATATATATATATTACATATTACATATATTACATATACATATATATATATATATACACTGAGTGGCCAAATTATTATGACCACCTCAGAGTTTTATGCAAATGAGTTATCGCGTCACAGCGCTGCCTCTAGAGGGCAAGATAACTATAACACGGGAATGCTGGACAAGTGTGTCATCAGTTATAGTGTGCTGCTCGCTCAGATATGGGAAAAAAAGTGATTTAACTGAATTTCAGCGTGGAACGATTGTGGGTGCGAGATGTGTCTGAACGAGTATCAGCAAAACGGCTGCACTTGTGGAGTGTTCCAGAGCAACAGTTGTTAATGTGTACAAAGAATGGACAATCAAGCAAAAAACCGGGTCTCAACGTCAGACTTGTGGTCGTCACAGGATACTGAATGTTCCATCAGAGAGAAGGCTGGCTAGGGTTGTGCAGTGCAACAGGAGAGCAACAGTTCGACAAATTGCAAGTGATCTTAATCAAGGAGCAACTGTGAACGTCTCTGAACGGACTGTTCGACGCACATTGCGCCGTATAGGGTATGGAAGCAGACGACCTGTTCGCAAGCTTCTGCTGTATGCTTTAAATAAGCGCAGACGTCTCCAATTTGCAAAGGAGCACAAACATTGGACAGTAGATGACTGGAAGAGGGTCATGTGGTCCGATGAATCACGATTTCAATTGCATCGCGCAGATGGCAGGAAGAGAATATGGAGTAAACAGCACGAAAGCATGGACCCCAACTGCATTGCCACGACACTTCAAGCTGGTGGTGGCAACGTTATGGTATGGGGAATGTTCTCTTGGTATTGTATGGGTCCTTTAATTCCCGTACCACAACGCCTTAATGCCCAAGGGTATTTAAGTATCATGGCAGATCAAGTACATCCGTTTATGTCAATGGTGTACTCAGGCGGGGATGGATACTTCCAGCAGGACAACGCTGCTTGTCATAAAGCTGGCATTGTCCTCTGATGGTTCAAAGAGCATGACGGAGAATTTAACTTGCTTTATTGGCCAGCACAATCCCCAGGTCACAATCCAATTGAGAATTTGTGGGATGAAATTGAACGGGCTCTCTGACAGATGGATCCAGTACCATAAAATTTGCAGGTATTGGCAAGTTCAGTTCAGCGAGCATGATCTGGCATATCTTCTACCACCTACCAACATCTCATAGAATCCATACCCAGACGAATTAAGGCAGTAATGCTCGCAAAAAGTGGCCCAACAGCGTACTGAAGGGGTGGTCATAATAATTTGGCCACTCAGTGTATATTCTAGGATTTTCGTTTAATAGAAACTATTTTTATACTTATTGTCCAACTTTAGCTTCTTTAAATTAAATATCGTACTTAAGGTTATTAATTTTATATTTCTTAAACGGTAACCTGTTGGCCATCAGGTCTTTAGACTATGTGCTTCTGATATTACTCAATATGACAATTAAACTGACATAATTTGGATAATTAGTCAGTGTAAAGCAGCAGACATGAATATAAAACAGGTCTTTAGAGTACATACTTCCTCATGACAATACTGCTATTTCTCTATATTAAAATTAAACTGAGATAATTTGGATAATTAGGCAGAATAGAGAGCAGCTGACATGAACATAAGGCAAGTCTTCAGACTATGAGCTTCCTCATGACAATACTGCTGTTTCTCTGTGCGACTATTAAACTGAGATAATTGGGATAATTAGTCTGTGGAAAGCAGCAGACATGAACATAAAATGTGCAGCAGTCTGAAAGTTCACAAAGAGCATCGGATAGAAGAGGAGAATCGTTGTTAAGTACACTCCAGGATTTACAAAAGGAGGAGAAGGGTCTAAAGATGTTATTAAATTTTAACTGAGATACAAGTAATGGTGATTTCTCGAAATTAAATGTAATTTTTTTCCAAAATTGTCCGCAATCTCATTTTTTATAACAGATTGAGAGAATTTTTACTAGAAAGATAGCTAAGACTATTGAGTATTCAAAATTTCAATACTTTTACCCATCAAGCAAAATTTTACTATCAGCAACTTGACTAAAAAGTCAGTTTTTATCTGAATTAAATATGCAATCGAATTTGATGAGAAAATTTCATTTAGGAAAAAATGTCTAATTTTGACGTCATAAATTGAAATTAAAATTTTTGAAATATTTAAAATATTATCGATATTTAAACAAAAGGCAAAAATATTGAGTGGGAGATCGGTAAGATCAACTGTTGCTAACTAGTTTCACAAGAGATAAGCGATAAAAATTTACAACGATAAAAATTTATAACGATAAAAATAACGAGAGAAACTACCTCAGAAAACCACGACCCTTGTATATAGTCAAAAGAAGATTGGATATACTTAGTGCTATGTATAGATAAGCCAATACAACGTGAATTAAAATCAAATACATGCATATAAATGTGCTCTTTTTAATTTATTTCATATCTTGCATAGTTATTCTGTATTACTAAAATAAAATTTTTGTTTTCAGTCAAAATCAGATTGTATTAAGGTATAAAACACAATTAAGGTATACAACACAATCTAAAATGTTGTAGACAAAGTGAAAATCAAAGGAAATTATTTTTGTATGACTAGAAAAGAATAATATCCCTTAGAAACTATGAAGGAATATTATCCTTTCTCATCACTCTTTTAATGTCAGCTGTCATTGTAGGTGTCTGTTACGCTTTCAAAGATTCATTCTAAGCCTGTAGCATTCAAAAATTGCTGAATTTTTTTAATTTTTAATTTAAAATATCCTGAAAATTTGGAAAACTGCATCTAATGAGCATCAAATGACCTTTTTATCAATTCTAACTAATGTTACTTATTTTATTAAATTTTCTTTTAGAATTCTTAATGGCGCATTCTAGTCAGAATGATAGACCAGCTGTAATTCTCTTTTTTTACCTACTGATTAAAAGTGCAAAATATAAAAAATCTTTTAAGGACTCTTTCATCATCCCACCACAAAGACACATAGTCTGAAATTTCTATGCAATAGATAATATACCGTAATGATTTTAACAAATATTAACTTCATTTAATCACAACTCGGTGATAAGGCAAAGGATAATACCCCTTAATAAAGTGTTTTAGAGTATTACCACTCATTCAATAGTCTTTTAAACTTATAACAATCCATCATATACTTAAAATCATATTGGGTAATGAAGCAAAATTATTTTAAGTATCTTATAATTAAGGAACGTTAAACTTTTTTTAATCTTTTACTAAGCTGCTTTTAATCGCCATTGGGAACTGAGGCGAAAGATAAGATATCGTAACAATTGTTGAGAAATATTACCCCTCTTTTAATAGCCCAAGAAACTTTAAAATGCTATTGGTTAATGAGGCAACTATATAATGTACAGTTCAGTTGTTTAGTAATATTATCCCTACTCCAATCGTCTGTTGAGCTTTTTTTATTTACCGTAAGGTGATAAGGCAAAGTATAAAATAATTCTTAAAAAGTATTACCCCTCATTTATAGGCCATTAAACTTTTAATCGTCATTGGGTGATAAGACAAAACTATAATATAATTTATATAGGTTAGGGAAATTAACCTTTTTTAATAGCCCTTTAAATTTCGTCTAATCCCCACTCAGGGATGTGATAATACCATAGTATACCTTAATTGTTAAGAAATATTCTTCTTCTTTTAATAGCTCGATTATTATGGAATGCATACATTTAAAACAAAATAATATAGTAATATAGCGATAAAAAGCATTCTGCTTATCAATAGAAGCAGAAATTTTTAAATGCTTATTTAATTAATCATACTAAAGGAAAAGTTAAAACTTATAAAATTATGTCATACGTATGCAAGGTCTTTTATACTCTGAAACTTTCCAGTAATGAAATTACAAAATAATCTAACTGCAATTCCAACATTTGAATATAGATAGATCATTGCAGTAATTTTTATTTAAATATGTTAAAACTGTAATGTTGAAATTGAAGTGATAAAAATTGTATGTTAAAATTTAAATATGGGTAAATAAATTAATATTTAATTAGTAATTATTAAATTATTTCTTATATAAAGATAATTAATTAATGTCTAATTGAAGAAGATATGAATAATTAAAAGTTATTAATAATAATTTAATGAGGAAAATTCCATTCAACAAAATCCATGATTCACTTGCAACCAATAATTGAAAACGAATGATGACAAAAAAGGTAAATTAGTAAATTTTAGTATAAATCGTAGATTGTTTAATTTTTCAAAAACTTTGTCTCTTAGAACAATCATTTCACATTACTTTTGCATAATACGAGTATTTAAATGAAATTCAAAATTTCCATTTAATCTTTTAATCATCCAAGCAATTTATCATCTCACGAGTTTTCCTTGAACTTTTAAAAACTAATTTTCCGACACACTATTCATTACACAATTTAGTTCTGTCCTTAAAAGATGAATAATGGAATAAATTATAAAAATTAATTGTAGAAAAGAACAAAGTTATTAAAAGAGCAGTTAAACGTAATTCGGAAAAATCAATTATTGAAAGATGTTAGTGGTGCTCAGAAATTAATTCTCCCTCAATCCTTCTTCACTATATTTGAAGTATTGTCTAATGGTCATTATTGTAAAGTGGTTTGATAAATTCAAATTAAGCAATAATAATGTATTACTTGAAAACAATTTAAATAGTTTTGGTGAGAAATATACAGGTGAATGAGCAAAATGTATGTTTTACTCTGTGATTTATTTGTTAGGATTTACATGCAATTGTTCGTGCGTAAAGTTTTGTCTAACATTTAAATTGCTTAAATATTCAGTTAAAGCGATGAAAAGAAAATTGATTGTATTAGGAAGAATTGTTTGTATTGAAAAGCGAAATTATGCTTTATCGTTAGCGTTTCTGAATTCCGCAAATCTTCTACTGAACTTTTTTTAAAACAATTTTTAACAATTTACATTATTTATTTAACATGCCATTTCCAGAAGATAATAAAAAGTATGTATAAGATTTGGTTATTATATTTAGCTAAAGATAATGGAGCAGGCTTTTATATTCGTAAGAACTACAATAGTAAAAACGATTTGCTTTTAGGATATGATTTAACTCAAAATCATTATTAAGGTTGAGGTAAATTTGAACGTTATTATGGTAAAGCTATAATGGTACAAAATACTTCAAATTTTTTAAAAATGTAATAATTTACAATAAAAAAGCCAGTAAATATGGGGGAAAGAACGTAAGCACATGCGCTGTAAAAATTTCTAGATCAAAACACAATATAAAGTACCGGCACTTAGGGAGCATCATCCGTCAAATCCGTTTTTACCGTAAAATATCATACCGTAATTTTTAGAGTAATATTTATTTAATGAGAGTGATTCAGTGATTTTACGATAATTATTACTATAAAAATTACGGTTTATCAGATTGTTTGTTCCGTAACATGTTCCATTAAAAATTTATTTTACTGCAAAAATTTTTAGTTAGCACAAGAAACTATGAAGAAATTGGTATATCAAAATTTCACTGTCTTTAGTTGTTTAATATTTAAAGCATTTAATATCTGAATAAATATAGTTTTCGAATGCTTTGAGTTTTTGATGGGATAGAGCTTCCTTAAAAATCATCAAAAGGAAGGAATAGAAATATGTTAAGAACCACTGATTTAAATGATCAGTTTAAACCATTACAACGTGGGATTTTAAATTTTTTGTATCAAAATTTAGACTGTACATATGTTATTAGAAAATATTATTGAATATTATTTAAAGCAGCATTCATGCAGAAATATATAGATTATAATTGAATTAATTTTCATTTAGAATGTTTAGTTCTTGCAGTATAGAAGTGAAATTTCAAAATGCATATTGGTATTTATAATAGAAATTATATATTTCAAAATGATGCAAAGAGTAACATAATAAAGATATAACATAATTTTTACAGGTATACCAGGGTCTCCAGGTCCAAGAGGTCCACCTGGTCCACCGGGACCTACAGGTAAGATTTTAGCTGCAAAAATTCTGAAATTCTATATTGGAAAGTAATTTCTGTTATTAAATAAAGAGTGAGTAAAAGAACAACAGTTTAGCAACACAAATGTATTCACTCTGCAGTTTTCAGTATAACTCTGAGTGTTTTTTACTTTTTCTTACCTACTGGTTGTTCTTACCTACTGGTTTTTCTTTCCTACAGGTTTTGTTTTCTAAATCATTTTTCTTTATTTTTAATTATTATAAATTTTCCTAATTTTTTTTTCTTAACTCCTTTCCCCTCGCTTTCGTCGAAATAACGAGGTGAGCTTTCGCTTCCTTTTTTCTCGTGTCTGTGATATTTCCGGGCTAGAGCGTTCAAAAGTAGTGCACCAAAAAGGTTTAAATATATCCATCTCTTGTGTCCAGAATTTTTATATGTCTTATTTTGCGCACTAGTGGCTGCACCAGACTACTTATAATTTAACTAGAGACAGTTTATTTGAAATTAGGTTTTACTACTATCTAAATGTATGTATTTCGCATTCTTAGCTCAACTGCTTATGCTCTTTGTGAATACACGTTGCGTGATAAAATATTATTTAAATAATGAGTACATTATCCAGAGAAACATGGTTATCGGGAATACGTATGGAGTTTGAAATATCAAACTAAAAAAAAAAAAAAAACATTCCAAAAATTAAAAAAAAATACATATGTTGTATATACATCGTATTATATATAATTTTCTTGAATAAAAAAATAGGCACTTTTATGACTGTTTTCTAGAAAATAATTAAAGGAATGTAATAAGATAAGCTAAAAGGAATAAAAACATAAAATATATGTATACAAAAGAGGGAGAAATTCTAGATCGCGTGCAAAAAAACTAAATAAAATAGCATCTGAAAACACGAAATTCTTTGTCTTTCTTCAAGAGAGACACGTGCTTCTTACAGCTGCCACGCCTTTTCATTATTATCTTGAGTGGAACGAAGTATGGTTATGTCATATCTAGGACAACCTGTCGGAGGTTGCCCTCCTCTACAAACTCTAATGTTTTATTAACCATAAACTTTGTCGAACGTTACATAGCATTTATTTAAGGTTGAGATATTTTTGGAGCATGTATTATAAAGACGTCAAAAGTTCACGAAAAACTGAATTCTTCGTATTTTTTTTCCTTATATATTTATGAATTTAGCAAATATGATCTACATGAAAGAATCTTGGTCATCTACTTTGTTATGCAAATGGAACTGAAAAAAGCTATCAAAATCTTTATAACAAGATTATTTAGTTCAATATTATATATATATATATACATAGTTAGAATTTTCTTTTCGTTTGCTTAATTTTTTGAATTTTATGAAAAGAAAGCGCTTCAGAAGTATCATATTTGTTAACCTAACAATATTTGTTGTAATTTGTAATTTAAAAAGTGTTTTATTTAGTATCTAAATAAATTTTAAGTTTTTAAAAAAAAAGAGAAAGAAAGAGAAAACATGGAAAATAATTTAATGAAGAGAAGTCAAAAATTTAAAAAAAAAATATGGAATTTTATTTTTGTTTCTTATTTTCATTTTTATAATTTTTCTACTTTTTTCATTAATCTTTATTATGTTATTTTCCATTTTTTCTCAATATTTTTATAATTTTGCCTTCCTTCCTCATAACATTTAATTTGAAGTATGAAGCTCAACTAAATATTTTAATTATAAACGTATGAATGCGCGAAATTAATTCATTAATTTCCCGAGATAATATTACAGGTATAAGTTTTCGAGTATATTTATTAAGAAAACTTTATGTAGTTCTTATATAGTTTATTTTGCACAGTTTCACAAGGGTGCAGTTTTTCTAGATAAAATATTTTGATAAATGAGTTCAGAAAATGTAATTGAGTGGTAAATATTTTATAGAGTACTTATGAAGCTTTAGTATGATTTTTTTGAAGAATAAAAAAAGAAAAGGATCAAAGACTGAAAGCTGCAATTTTCTCTCTAGGAAATCCATCATCGTTTAAAATGGATTTTTTGCATGCAAGTAACGATTTTTAATGTTTCAAAAATCTTTTCTATTTACGCATTTTTTTTCTTTTTATCTCATTTAAGAAAGAAACATTACATTTAAATATAATAATAAATCTTATCCGAATAGTCCTTTTTTCTATAAAGAGAAGTGTAATTATTCTGCAAGTAGGTTAATATGATTTTTTTCATTTTAATGCTTCATATTTTATTTATGAATATTTTCTTCACCATTGATAAGATTTCTAAAAATTAATGTTTTAAAATATTTAATGGGGCACTTAGTATATAAATCATTTTTGAATAAGCAGTATAAATAACGATCGGGTATTACACTAAAAAACATTTTTAAAACTGCTACACACAAAATTTTCATTTCTTGTTATTTTACACAATTTTGTTATAAATTCCAAATATAAAAAGTATTATAGTTTCACTAAACTGAAATAAAATAGCAATAAAATAAGAAAAAATCAGGTTATGGGCTGTCGTGTCACGAATTAGAGACTTTTTTTACATCTTCTCAAGCTGAGTGAATAATTCAATGTTGTTGTTGAATGTTTTTTGATTTTCTTTATTTTTTGTACCGTCATGTGGGGCTACTTTGTGCAGGATTTCGCAGTTTATGAACTTTGACATGTCAAAAAACTATGTTAATTCAAACTTTAGTAAAATTTATCGATATTATATTCATAACTGGACTCAGACGAGTGAATTTGATCAATATCGGCATTATTTGTATGTAATATTTTCAAATAATAAGTCAAAACATACCTTGCACAAAGTAGCCTCCTTGCACATACCTTGCACTCATCCTTGTTTGGTGTACAGAGTACATCACAAGAAGATAAGCGAATTTTTCCATGACGTAAGAGTGATGGCTCGAACTTGTCAACCAGTGCAAGGGATTTGGGGCAAATACTGCACTGAAAATAAAGTTTTGCTAAAATGACGATACTGTATGGTAAAGACCCTTAATATAGTCCTGGTTATAAAACCAAAATATACAGTATTTAAACCATTCGCACGGTAATGGCATCCCTTCATAAAATTCGGAAATTTCGTTTTTAAAAATTATGCTTTTTTTTGTCACATATTTAGTAAGAATACAAAAACTGAAACGAAAATTTACCGAAAAACAGTTTTATGTATACTTTAAAATATCATATATGATACAATTAAAAAAATCTAACACATTACCAAATTTTAGCACACATTATAATAATATATTTCATTTACCAAGCAATTTGATAAAAATTACTGTGCTTTTTGCTGTTTCCATAAGAGTCAGAAACACGGTAAGTTTTACCATATTTTAAAAATTTTGATCAACTTTTTTTCACTGTGTGCTACTATTATTTTGTAAAGGTAAGGATTGAACTTTTGCGACCCTTAGTGTATGAATTGTACATTATGTGCATTTTACGATATCAATAAACTATTTAATCACGATATTTCGCAATGCATATCAAAAATAATTACTATAAATTTGTATTAATTAGCATAATTGTGAGCTAAAATAATTTATATTCTTTTAAACTTTTGAAATTTTAAATGATAATAGCGAATGTTTGAATAAACCAGACGAATAGCTTCTGTATAATTAAATATCTAAAACGATGAATGTTTGAAAATTTCCTTTCACCGTCAGGAAAACTGTTTGGCATGTTCCTTTGAAATCTCATATTTTGTCTTTAAATCCATTATTTTTTGTCTTTGAAATTACTTGTAAATAATCTAGATACCTAATAATTCAAAAAATTTTTGATTACAAAAATGTTTTGTTGATTTACTGCTGGGAACATATTCTTGTTTGCGTAATCAGAATAATTTTTTTCTGGTAACATCTTTTAAAACCTGTTGATTTTTTTCTCCACTTTTTAAAAGAAATCAAGACTTCTTCCTTTAGGCCTTTGGATTAAAGTATCATTTACTTAAAATGAAGAGAAAAAAAATTGTCTTGAAAGATTAAATGAGTCAAACAAAATAAAAATTTTACGGTATGAAGGACTTCATAGAAAAAAAATTTTTAATTGTGCTCTGATAATTAATTCCGGAAGGTATTTGTAGTTATTAAGTGGTCCTCAGATGTAAGATTTCTTTTGCCTAAGTTTTTACTGCAGCTCCTGTCATTAATTTTGCGTCTTTTTCTGTTTACGTTACTTTTCCGTTTCAGATTTAACAGGATCTAGAAAGAAAAAGAATTTTTTTAAAGCACGCACACACAAAAGTTTTTTTTCTTTTTAATCAATAATGAAATATCCATCTTTTGTATATTTTATCAAACACAGAGTGTCCTAAAAATTAGAGAAAAATGTTAATATCCATTAAAGAAAAATGGAGTGGGACTATTATTTGCTTTCTATTTAGGAAATTAAGTATTTCTCTCAAACGTCTGAAATTAGTTACGAACTCCGTCATCAGATGCAGGACTAAAGAGAATAGAAGGGCTAGTTCACTCCGCTCTTAGAGCTGAAGCTACGATTTCCCTCCTCATGACGTCACTGTGTCCACAGATCTCGGAGATTGCAAGCAAAGATATTATGATAACTTTGCATCTTTCTCCTAGTAAAAATAAGTCAGACTTTTTCTGGTTATTAGCTTTCAAACTTTACGTAATTAACACATTATTTCAATTCATAAACATAGTTTTAAAAAAACTTTCTTGGTTNGACTTTGCCATTATACTATGTATAATTACTTTGAAAACATCTGTTTCAAAGTTTTTGATCAATAACAGCGCCATATGTTAACAAATTTTGTAACTAATTTTAAAACTTAAAGAGACTAATATATATATATTAGCTCTTCCTGCCGTTCTGTAATTAGGTTTACAAATATCTTATCATTTTGAGAACAAAAATGCACATGTTTGTGCTGTTTAAATTTAGTCCCCCACTTGTACACTAAAATAAATTTAAGGAAGAATCTGTCCAATTGTTTTTCTGATTATATAAAAGATATTTTTTTTAAATGACTCTATCACTCTCTCTTTCAAGATTGGCGTACTACTGAAACTTTTCTTTTTGTAAAAGAATCGAAAAATTCTCGCTGCAGGAACACTTCTTTTTAACCCACTCGATAAAAAGTATCATTTAGTTGAAACGTTGAAGAAATAAAACTACGAATGGAATCGGCCAACTATCTTGAAAGATTAAACGAGCAAAACTAAATCAAAATTTCTCGACGACTGTTAAAATTCCAAATGTACCCGGGTAAAGTGTTCTGGGAGGCATTTGCAGATAATAAGTGACTTCAAGAGATTCAAGATTTCTTTACCCTACCATTTTTCTGCATTTCTGCCCTTTCTGTCACCATTTTCACGTTCGTTTTTTTCCCTTTCCAGGTTTACCAGGTCCCAGAGGGAAAAAAGGAGTTCCAGGAAAAGCAGGAACGCCGGGTATGAATGAGTTTTCCTGAATTCTTTCTTTTTGCCTTTTTCTTATTATTGCTCCTTATTTTTTCGTCTCCGCATTTTGTTAAGAAGGTTTATTGAATTGTGGAATGAATTTTTCCGGATAAATGCCTGCTTTTAAGAAAGAATGTTGTTGCCACAATCTTTTATTATCAGATATTATTTTTCTTGTAATAAAATATGAATTTGATATTAAATGGGGGAAAGTATTTATTGGTTCAAAGAAAGCATATATTTTACATAAAATGCTTACTTTAATTTGATTATTTACTCAATATATTTCCTTGTTGACAATTGGATTTATTTAAAACAATGTTTAATATCAGTTATTTGTGTATGTTATAAGTGTTTATTTTTAATTAATTTAATTTTTGTTGAGCTATAACGAGTCTTAATGCTATAATGTTGTTTCAAATTTGGTGTTAATTTGAGCCTTATTGCAGTTCTTTTTAAACTTAACAACATTATAATTTGACTCACCTTGACCAACTTTAAAATGTATAATTCATGATACATTTCAGGTAAAAGGATCGATTAATTCCCTTATTGTAGAATATTATATCAAACTAACCAAACTGATGTTCATGACCTAGCAGAAAAATAAGTTGGGCCCTCATTGGGCCAAATATTCATAAATCTTGGCTCAAAAGGCCGTTATTACTCCGATATTGGTTTATTATAGAATTTTTCGATTCACCAAATAATTTACAGTCATTTTACAACCAATATCGGTTCTGTATAGAATTGTGAAATTCACCAGATATTTTATATCAATTATTTAGCAAATACAGGTTCCATATTGGACATTGTAGGCTCTATATTTGCCAATATAGTACGTCTTTCACCAATATTAAAGAAATCTAAACACCCCAATACTGGTCCCTCAATGCATGATCCATGCGACATGACCCATATTGAGCCAATTTTAAACCCAACTGGGACCAAGGTAAAATTGTTACTAGGGAGGAGAAGGCTTTTCATTGATCTTGTGTCGAGAATAAAGCTTTGAGACCAGTTAACGTCGTTCATTACAATCTTATTCAAAGTGAATATTTCAAAACTTTTTAAATCATCTATCAAATGTAAATGTTTTTATAGCAAATATATCGAAAAGTAATCATGTTTGTACATTTTGCTTCTCAATGGAGAATAAAGAAATAAAACGCGTAGTAAAACACTATAGGAAAAAAATAATAAACTGTTTAATTTAATATGTCATTGCAATTTTTTTAGTGTTACAAAAAACTTACGATATACGCTCTATTTGTCAGCTTTAAGGAAAAATTACTGTAAACTGGATTCTTTACAATGCCATTTAAATTTTGCTGTAAATTATAAGCACGCTTTACATATACCGGTTCCTCTGTTAGTTATACTTTAACAGAGGGTCCCTTCGACGTAGATGGGAACCCAATGTCCCTTTTCTACATTTTTTTTACTCTTACAAGCAGAAATATATTTTGGTATTTTTTAATTATAAAAAAATACAGTCTAATAGTTACTGAAATAAAATCTCTTAGATTATGGGAATTATATTTGTACAAAAATAGTAAATCAGGAATTGTTTTTGAAAATGGAAGAAATTTTAATGGTGGATAACTGTTTCTCCTTGATCGAAATAATTGCAAACCGGTGCAAATTTGAAAAATTATTGTTTGAAAATTTTACCTTTAACCTTTTGCCTACGGCGTCTGATAGCACCTGCTATTCTGGACCATCAGTTGTACCTGCAAAAGGTTAAAGCAAAAAAAAAAAAAGAAGAAGAAGAAAAAAAACAGATAAATCATGCTGTATTTTATAACCACAAATAAGTAAAATGCTACTATAATATAATTAGAGTTTTTTTTAATTAAATCAATACAAAGTTAAGAAAAAAGTATGAAAAATATGTTTACTAAAAATTCTGTATCAAAGGATTAAATGTCTTTTTCATTCTATTTTGAGTTATTTTTCTACCAGTATGATTCAAAAGTAAACGTACTCATTTCGAATACTGGTGAGCTCGGAAACTACTTGATTTTTGTATTGCTTTAGTACCACTATGAATACTTTACTCTAGTAGAGAAAAATTATGATTTTTTTGACACTGTACGAAGTTAAACTTTACGATTATAAAGAATATTTTAAACAAAAATTAACGTTATTTGAAAACTTTTTTTTAAACAGGTGTTCCTGGAATTAAGGCTTGGACTGTAAATGGGACAGAAACAAGAACTCTTTTAAGTAAGTTTTGATTGTTTAATATTTAGCTTGTTAACTGCTTATTTTGAAAGCAGTCGTTAATTCAAAAGTATATTATTAAAGCATTTTATTATGTTATTTTCAAAACACATTATGTTTTGAGAATCTCTGCAACCAACAAAAATAAATTAGTAAATAAATAAAAAAGTCGCAGTTAATGTGCTAAACGCTAGCTATGAAGACAAAGCTATAATTTTAAACTACATGCAATCTTGCTCTATAGATTAACCTGGACTTTAAAGCATACAAATAACTTAATATTACGTAATAATGTCTTAATAAAACTAAAACTAAACTCAGTGACTTCAGAGTCTATTTTTTGTCGAAATATATAAGATTTAAACTGTTACGTATAACAGGGAGTCGCATACATGTTGTGACAAACATTTAGAGGAGTTATGGCACACAACCAGGTTTAAAATTGCATAGAAACCCATGCTTGGAAAAGTCATCATACGCCGCTAGGGGTGCTTTCCTATCATGAACTGTTTCTTCATGTGCTTCCGAACAGGTCCGAATAGGGAAATGCCCCTATCAACGTACGACAGCATTCCCGGCCTTGAGTTCGTAAGCACTTTTAATCCTAATGATATACCTTAACTCCCCTAGATGTATTTCACAACGTTTATGCGCCTCCCTGTTTTATATATAACGCTTTTAAACTTGTACATTTTTAAAAAAATAGACTTAATATGTCATTTTTAAAAATTCTGCAGCTTTAGACGCAAAAGTAATTTCAAATTTGAAATCCGCTCATCCGAATCAGACAAAATAAAGTATTTGTATAAATGCAACAAAAAATTTGTTCTCCGAAAAAAAATCTCCATCCCTTTAAAGAAATGATGCTTTGTTGCGGGAAACTTGTTTTGATGGATCATTTGGCAAATGTATTTTGATGATTTATCTTTCCAAATTGAATCTTTGAATAATATTAATAATAATTTAAATAAAATAAAATAAAAAAACTTTTTGCCTTAATACACCAAAGCAAATGAGAGAGAAAAAAATATTCTTTTTCAGGTGAAAGAATAAAACAAATATTCCTTTTTGGCTTCCATTAAGTGAAGAAAAATATCAATGGCTTCCAGAGAACGTGTTTCATTATTTGTTTCGCGTCGTTTGGTGGCAGACTCTTTTGAGATCGGTCGTTGGATCACAGATAGCCATCTTTGGAGTCACATTTCCGATGCCGGATGTCCGGATCGAAATTTAATTTCCGGCTTCATACTAAATTCTCTCGATGAGATTTCTTTGTCAGGTAATAAAAGCCACAGTAAGGCATTGTAGAAGAACCCAAACATTCCGTACGTTGTTTTCTGTGGCTAAATATCTTTCCAAATCAAAAAATTCCATGTTTTTTTATAGATGGCATATAAAAATAACGTTTTTGTCCTAGCAATATAAATATGTAGGTAAAAGTACCTAGATTTAATTTTATTATTTTCTTTAATAAGAATACCATGAAGCCGGAATGGACTAAGGGATATGGCATTTGTCGCCCAAAGAAGCAACCCAGGTTCGGATCCCAATGATGGCTGATTAATTTGTATATTGCTCTCGCTCGCATCAACTACAGTACTGACTTAAAGTATCCTAATTGGTAAATGGAGCATGCGTTAGGGGTTTCTTTTTCCTATGGTTGACTGTGGTAGAGCTTCATATTTTTCTCCTCTATTTAATACGGATATGGGTTAGATTCACTCAAAAAGTCCCCCACAAGGATGAGTTTTGAGGAGTACTCTTGTCTTCTTGTTTGGGTTCAAAAATACGAATTGAAACATGGATAGGCCAAAGTATGCCAATAATGTGTTGCCTTATTCTTACGGAATGAGTCTAAGATAGTTCTTGGATGGAACGTGTATTCTTTTAATTGCTGTCTTTAGTTATTATCGGTATGTAGATACGTTGGTAAAGTTTGTATAGGTATTCCATTATGAAGCTTCTATTAATTTCTTTTTCTACCTACTTTTTCTTTTTTTTTTGCAGTAAATTTTTACGCAATGCTGTAGTACCTGATTGGTACTACAGCATGCATAAAACTTTACTGCAAAATATATGTGGCTAACTTTCAAAACTGTTTATTTTTGCCTCAATAAAGTATTGAGAAAATTTTTTTTCTCTTTAGTACCTCCTGCAATAGTAGACGTAGATCCACCTTCTTCCATAATGGTGGATGAAGGACATAGGGTACAGCTAAAATGCACAGCTACCGGTTTCCCTGAACCACAATATACCTGGAGAAGTGATGAAAATAAACCCATACATTTTAGATCTTGGAAACGTAGGTATAATTCAAATCCATGCTTGTTAAAATTGTGATTGTTAAAATTTTCTATTCAAGTAGTCTTGTGATTGTTAAAATTTTTTATTCAACTAATTTTTTTTTCTTTTCTAGAGTCAGACTACACAATTTTTTTCTTCCAACTTTTAACATTGTTAGCGGTGAACAATTTAAGTTACTGTCGGACAATCCCGAGTTGAGCCCTCGATCTAATGGAACGCAATCCCACCGAGAGCTCATCTCGTAATTGCAAGAAAGTCTGCTGATCTTAATCTTTAATCTGAATAATCTCATTAAGAGCAACTGAAAATTTCATTGATATTTGAAAAGAGTTATAAAACTTAAAAAGAAATAACATTCAACATTTAAAAATAAATTTTAAAACTTGCTTATTTAAAATACATGTTAAATGGAACTTTTTTAAAAGAACAAAATGCCTTATTTAACTTAGATATTAGTTATATAGTTTATTTTAAAAGAGATGCAACGATGCAAATTTTTGATTTAGTAATGTACCGTACTAAATACAGTTTGCAATTGGACTTTTAAATTATAAAACTTCCCCTCGTCTAAGATGTCATATTCACATTTCACATGAAAATTAACCTCATTTGCACATTAAAATGTATCTATTTTGTAACATTTGTGCCTGGTACTCATAATTAAATAGCTATGTGGAAGTCCTGTAATCCCAGTGATGCTTTAGTTGTGCACTAGTATAATTAGATATTTGCAACTAATAACACGGTTGTTCACGGCGTATAAATGATTAAGGCTTGGGCTTATTATGAAGTTGAATCTTTCTTTGGATCAGATTAAAATGGATACCTGCAAACGACGTCATGCGTTTGTGTCGAAGCTGATTGGCTGACCCTCGCGAGACGTCGTTTAGAAGTATCTAAATCTGAAAAATGAATCCTTCTTGTATTAGAAGCTATATCTTTCGAAAAAGCTTTATTTTTTCGAAAAAGTATTGTTTTTATATTCATAATGGAATTATAGAGTTATAAAATTATCTCAGAGGAGCTGGAATGTAATCAATCTTCCCAATTTAAATGAGCTTCGTGGGTAAGATAATATTTCTGACACTTATAGTACTTGAATGGTTACTTTCCGTAGAAAATTATTCGTTTGTCTATATTAAGAATGTTTTTGTAACTTAACTAAGAAGATCCTTTATGTCGGAAAGTCATTAAGTAGATAATTTTGATTACTTTTCGGCGTAAACAGGGGTTTTAGATGAGTTCTTATTTCTTCCGTTAAGTACTTGAAGGGTTGTATTTTGTATAAATTCTGTTCAGTTGTACAAATTACGTACTTTCGTAAACTTTTTTCTTAAAACTTATCCAAGACCATTTATGTTGAAAAAATATCAAGTAGATAATTTTTTTTCTCTTAAAAGGCTCTTGTGTAATTGTCTCATTTTATATTTCTGTCCTTTAGTGTCAGAATGGTAATTATCTGTTTGAACAATAGGTTTTTCTTAAAATTTCGTTTTAAGATTTATCTCAGAAATTAGTTTATGCTGGAAATAGAGCAAATAGATAATTTTGATTGCTTTTCTGAGTAAACTCTTCTGCGTTTGTTCTTGGATGAGGTCCTATTTCTTCCATTTAGTACTTGAATGGTCATTTTCTGCTACCTGTTAACTTTTCGACATTGCGCTTTTTAGAAAATATTTTTTTCTTAAAAGAGACTATATAAGGAACTATCATGCCGGAAAGTAATCAAATAGATTATTTTGGCTACTTTCTGGCGTAAATGGGAGATATGGGTAAACTCATATTTCTTAATAGTACCGGATTGGTCGTTTTCTGTATTAACCTGTTCATTTACCCATATTAATTTTCTTAAATGTCTTAAAACTTACTCGAGATGCTCGTTCATGCAGAAAAGAATTTAAATAGGCAATTTTGGTTACTTTCCTGCTCAAACGAGAATTTTAGTGCAGACTCGGATTTTTTTCTGAAAGATCCTTAGTATTGCTTGCTGCAAAAACTCGTTTTTGTAATTTTTAAACTCAATTTAGAATTTAATAGAAATTAAAATTAATTTTAGTGCTAATGGACTATATATTAATATTTGCATAGTTTAAAATGATCTTAGCAAACTCTTTGTGTTGAGACACGAAATAAACAATTCAGCGACTTAAAATGTGATTTTGACTACAAATGCATCAATGAACAATTCTTTATTGCATCTTCACCCATATGATTTTGTTTTCTCTAGAGTCTTCTGTGAACTCTGATGTTCTCGAAATTTCTCGTGTTAGCCGAGATCACATGGGTATTTATATGTGTATTGCTTCAAACGGAATTCCACCTCCAGCTATCCATAAAACTAAGTTGGAAGTAGCATGTAAGTAACGTTTACGTTTACCTTTCCCTTAAGGGGAAGCGATAAACTTTAATATGTCATTCTTTATAGGATTCGAAACACAGACTTAAAATTTCTGATTTTTTTTTTATCTTAGAGAAGAAAACGCTAATGACTATCTTTCATGTTTTAACCTTACATTTGAACTAGAATGATACATTGTATTTGGATTTTAATAATATTTTTATTTCGAATTCAAGATGATTATTACCTTTATCAAAATACTTTGCAAAATACTTGACTACTCAGCAAGTATACCATTCGATAAAATGTAATAAAATTTTATATAAATATGTTATAAGATATGCCTTCAAAAATAGTTATTGCAATAATTATCCAGATGTCACGATTGCGATAACATCATTTTGAAATTTTGAAATGGCAACACCTTTTTTTGAATTCAAGTAAATGATCAACTTGAATCAATGGAAAGTTATTCACTTTTTTTAAAAAAAAATACACGAAAACTAGCATTTAAAAACAAATTCTAACAACTTAATATCGTTTATATACTATATATATAGGTAATAAATTATAAATAAATAAGTATTTACCTCACATAAGCGAGCGCCACTTCCAGGCTGCCAGCTGTATCTTCTGCAACTTATTATGAATTTCTTCTTTCAAACTTGATGAAAATCGGAACATTCGAAAGTTTTTTTTTCTTTCTTTTTTTGAAGTGTTTTTCCAATTTGCCGCCACACAACCACCTATATCAATAATTTTAAGTATCCATATAGCATTCAAATTCTCACCCTGATGCTAGCATAACGTAACTTGCGAACTTGTCTGCTCCATAATAGCGGATAGTTCAGCTCTCATAGCGTAGGAGCCTTAGCGCAAATCAATGCATTTGAATTATCAAGATGAAGTTATAAACGCCTCTTATTGTGCTGCCATCTGCCAATATTATAGAGAACGTCAGGAATAAGTTGAATTGATGCTTTTTTTTATAAAATCTTGATCCTCGCAGTTAATAACTTAAGATAGAGTTAAACGATTTTATTGTATGAAGAAAAGCAGCAGGTGCTATTTTTATTAGGATCAAATAATCGCTTCAGGCAAATGAGTTATTGTGGACAATAATGCCGCTGAAAGGCTAGTGTTAGCAAAGAAGAGAAAAAAAATTTCTTGGCAAGTTCTGAAAACTTTATTTCTGGTGCAAGAGAGTTTGTGTCGATTCATTCTAATGCTTCATTACAGACAGATTCCCTTTTTCTTCTAGTTGAGTTGCTAAGTATAATTCCTTATAATGGACGGTGTTTTCTGCACTAGGGGGCACTGCAGGCTCTTTATCTCTCATATTAGCATGATAATGTATCCTCTGCATTTTTGAGGCCATTNCCACTTTGATAAATGTAAACTAATGCGAACCTTACAATTAAATTATTAATTCCTTCGTATATTATTGGTTTAAGTTGTCGAAAATTAATATTTCAATTGTAAGGTTCGCATCAGCATACATTTATAAGAGTGGAGAAAAGTATCTATGACGAACTAATAAAGTTTGAAAATATCCTATCTGTAACTCCGAACTGCTCGACCGTAGCGCTTCAAAACCGGCGCCAGTCGATTCCTCGTGGCCAAAAACCCCAGACCCCCAAGTTTACAGGAGTTTATTAATTCTGGGGCGATTTTCGACTTGGCAACCATTCCTCGTATTATAGTATAAGATATAGAAAAATGATATCAGTTTGAAAATGTCGTCTCGCACAATAAGCTGTAGTGAGCAGTTCTAAGCTTTCTAACCAAAAAAAGTCGTAAAGGTAAAGAGATCGAGACTCGTTTTTGCTTTTATTTGTATTGAGAGCACGATCCAGTCAGCATAAAATGCTACATCTGAGGATTGGCAGATTGGAAGAGATAATAAACTAAAATAATATTTCTCATTCGTTAGTTTTATACTATTATATGATTTCATGTCAGTATAGTTTTTATCTAAACAAATATATTGTATTTATTTCCAGTTCCCCCATTGATAAAAATCAGGAACCAAATGGTTGGAACGGTAAACGGTAGCTATGCTCTATTGGAATGCTTCGTAGAGGCTTATCCAACAGCTGTGAATTTTTGGCAACATGGCGATAATCGCCAACTTGAGAATAATTGGAAATATCACATTGATCAAATAGACGAGGGATATAGGACTCATATGATTTTAAATATCACACGAGTGGAACCTTTAGACTATGGACTGTACAAATGTATTTCTAAAAACGATCGAGGAAAAACTCTTGGCGTCTTCACAGTTTTTGGTAAGTATTCAAGGAATTATTTAATACTGAAATTGCATTGCTAAGAGAATATTGAAATTGCACTGCATTTAAACTTGTTGAATGTTTGAAATGTTGAATGTTGGAGACGAAAACCACAAACGTTCAGCCCATGATCTGTCTTCTACTGAAGATATTTTACATCAGCAGTGTGATCGGTGCGAGCCGGGTGCGGAATTCGTATCGATCAGCTATCTCTGGGATTCGAACCCTGTCCACCTCAATAGGAGGCGAACACTCTATCCCCTGAGCCACCAAGGCTCGAAACAAATATTTGGTGTGAAAGGGATTCAATTTTTTGACAGTGAAAGATGAGATGTATACATTGGATCTTTCATAACATGGATAAACAAAATGTTGTCGCTGCGTTAACAAAAATTCATTACTGATTTCGACAATATGCAGAAAGAAATAATCGCCCAATCTTAAAAAATAAGCAAAATATGTACTATAGATAATAAAACGATTTTCGTTCAATCTTCTTTTGGATATGTCTTCCCATGAAAATTATTAAAATATCTTCTATTTTAATTTTCTATTGCTAATTAAAATTAGAAAAAATGCAAATGAACAATCTAATTTATCTTATCTAAGGTAAGTTATGGCAGCCCTGAGATTTCATTTATACTATTTTTTTCTCTTTTGCAGCAGGTTAAAATTTTATAATTGATTGATGTATTCTTCCTTCAGGGAGCGACCGGCAATAAAATAATAATTGTGTAAAGAAACTTTGGATAATGGCAATAATGAACAGTGCCCATGTAGGGAACCTTTGGGTTCCTCATACTTATTATGGACAGTATTTAAATTTAAGCAAACAAAAATTAAAATCAATGTCAAACTTTAATCAGGGTCCTAACTAGATTGATTTACAAAAATTGATTTTTTTTGTTTTCTATTAAGGCCGCAAGATTCTTTAAGTACCCAAACACGGCAAATATTACACAGCATCATGTCTAACATTCTTTTCTTTTGACACCGTATCTAATATCGGAACTCTACAAGTTGTATTAAACATTGCAGGACGTTGTGTTGCAACAGTTGTCAATACTTCTGTGAAGAGTTAAAGGTTGGTTGTAGGTTTCAAATTGGCAGCTAGTTCCGACATGACAGTTGGTTTCTTGCAGTTGCCATATTAGTACACTTTTCAGTGCCAGTAACAATTCCAATCTTAGAAAAAATGACCATTTTCACTTTAGTGAAAACATACGATCATGGAAAAAAACTAAAAATTCGTGGCGAAGATGTTTGTAAGGTAGACAACTAAGCTTAATTCTCTTTATAGCGGTTAATGATCAAGGAAGGATTTCTTGAAACGAAAAAGACACGTTTATGTATTAAGTTTAAAAGAACAATATCTTCTACATGCAGTTTCACTCCATCACTTTGTTACACAATTTCCGTATTGACGAAACAGAAGACTTTTATCACTCTTTCACTACTCATTTTCATTGATTTATGCTGCCATCTACATTTAAAGTAATGAGTTAATTAATTTTTATTGCAATGCTTATATTAGGTGTTAGCCCACTTTTGAGTCATTTATCTCACTTTATATTTAATAATTAAAAAACTTTATGATTGTGAATTCAATCTTGATATTTTGTTTTACAGAAATCGATCCAAATGCTCCAACCAAAAAGCCACCAACCGAAAAGTATGAAATATATGGACAACGTAAGTATCATTACATCCAGTTTTTACATAATATTATCATTTTACTAAAATTTCAAAACTCGCATTAATTTAATTTTGACTGAATATAATAAATATTATTCCGTGTTTAGAAAGGGAGAAACGTTTCTTACAGACTCAAATAATTTCTTACAGAAAACAAAATCAACTTGCAAAATTGTTCATTATTTTTCCGACTCAGCTCTTGTGTATCCATAGAAACAAAATAAATATTTTCTTTCAGCAGTCTAGACTAACTGTCAATAAATGCTCCAGACTTTATAATAGACAAATAATATTGCACACATCAACAACTATCTGCTGTTTTTTTATACATGGTTTTCATTTAATTATGTTTATATTTCATTTATTTAGTGAAGATTTATAGAATAATGTCATATTTAAAACTAAATTGTTTATATTTGACTTATTTGGTTTATTTATTGTACAAAAACTTGTACATAGAAAACAATGTTTTTTGGTATTTAATTTCGCATGCCTGTTTTTTAAATCACAATCATTCTCTTTTTAAATAATTTATAAAAATTATTTTATCTTATAAATGAGTGGATTAAAATTTTGTCTGATAGTTTTTCTTAAGGATTTTTTTTATTCACTCTCGCAGGGGACTTCAAGAGTTAAAAAGGATACAAAAATGTGAAGTGATAAAAAAAATCGTGCTCTAATTAAAGATTAACTTTAAAAAGGAACTTTTTGATCAGAATGATTTGATATTTTCCCTGAGTACACTTGAAGCATTAGGAACTGTTTTACCAGAGGAGAAAAAGAGTTTAAAAGTTGACCGATAGATGGCCGATGGATGACACAACAAAAAGTGAGAGCTTTAAAACATATGCTAATAAAAAGCCGTGATATCTGCCATATCGGTGATTGCATTGGAAATATTCTAGACATTAATTGTGGTCTAGAATTTCTTCAATTTTTCAAGACATAAACGGAGGATGGAATTCGCACGAAAAGAACCACAAAACAGATAACAGTCTTTTTAGCACATCATGACTAGTACCGCACCTTCTATTGGTCAATTTTGAGCCTTTATTACCTTTGCTTCATGCATACGAAAAGGAAATATAAGGTCTTTCTGATCAGTGATTATTTTTCACAACCTTTTGAGAGTTCAATTTTAATAATTATAATTCCTTTACCCAAGTCAAAATACTTGATGGTCCCTTCAAAATATTTTGAAGGTTTATGTTGGTATCAGTGCGATTTATGATGGTCCAAAGTCATTTGATGATCCCAATCATCGAACATTTTCCATTATGCGTTCATGGGTTTTGATGTGCCAACAAATTTCCATCCTTCCCTGATAGAAAATGCTACTTTAATACTGTGATGGTTAACCATCAAGTGAAGTTTGATTCTCATGGACCAACAATTCATGATGATCCGTGATGGTTCATAATGGTTCCAATTTCTGATGATTTAATGGGAATTCTTGTTGGCTCTCAGGAATATAGAATTTGATTTTCTTTAATGTTGGACCATCAATAATCAGTCCGAATTTTTACATTGTGGTGATGGGGGTTCATGATCGTTACAACAATTTATTTCTAAGAAACTAAGATGGAAATTTGTGATGGTTCAGAATTGGATGGTTCTTTTAATTGGACAGATATCCAAAATCTTGAAAAACATGTGTTGTAAATGGAAGGAGTCTTCATTGGCAAATATTACTAAAATCAGGGCAGAGCCAGAAACCCATCAAAACTTAAAAACCACTGTCTCAAAAGATAAAATTTTATTACATCTTAGTAACTTTATATCTGAGTTACAGTTCTGAAAGTCGATGAGCGTACAGAAACCCATCAAAACTTAAAAACCACCATCTCAAAAGATAACATTTTATTACATCTTAATAACTTTATATCTGAGTTACGGTTCTGAAAGTCGATGAGCGTACAGAAACCCATCAAAACTTAAAAACCACTATCTCAAAAGAAAACATTTTATTACATCTTAGTAACTTTATATATGAGTTGCGGTTCTGAAAGGAGATGAGCGTACAGCGTCACTTTCCCGGCACATAAAAGGTGATATCAAAGCTCTTTACAATACAAATTAAGTGCACAGATCTAAAATTAAAAACAATACACACTAGCTACCATGGAATTATGAAATGTTTGTTTAGAAGTTAACAAAATTTTATGCACGTAACTCAGAATGCCGTCTATAATCTAATTAAATAATTAAGTGATTTTCCAAGAATAAATCAATGTTTAATAGCATATTCCCCTCATCCCGTAAGTAAATATGATTGCTACGTATTTATAATATTTAAATACCTAAAATATGGCCTTTGCGAGCGATAATAAACTAATTTCAATTTCTTTGGTAGGAAAAGATAATTATAATTTCGGTCCTTTCTTTTGCAAATGCTGTTACTTTTACAGTTTTTAAAAGTGCGATTCTATATATTGTACGTTAGCAATTAAAATGGAAAATTAAGTTTGATAAATTATTTTGCTTCAAAGGTGTTTCGGTAACTATTACTTGACTGATTAAATCAAAACAAAGGGTTATTGAAAATTAATATTTTTCAGTTATAATTTAATTTTTCACCTTGATTTTTCTAGACGATAATGAACAATTAAAAAATCTCTTAGCAAGTACCATATCTAAGTGAGTACTTAATTTGTGAGTGTACGCTTCACTCTACGGATCTACTTTCAACTCAGTGTATTGCGCAAAGGACGCAATACGCAGAAACATTAACGTCGGCGTTTTCCGTTAATCTATCTTTAACGAGAAATCATAACACTTGTCGAAATATCGATTAACTAATAAGTCTCTCAGTCAACTGATGGTTAAGACACGGTTCCCAGTAGAACACCGAAGTCAAGCATCACTGGTTGCGGTCAGTGTGCGGTTAGTTGACCACTTGGATCTGTCTACAAAGGGATTAAGGGTGTGCGGTATTGGTGCTCGTTAAACTGTTCCGTTGTAAAGCACTCGACTTCGCGAGTAGGTCATCGAGCTACCGAAGCGGGGTGACATCCCCTCTGAAAAAATCAAAATTGTGATGGCAAGTCTTCGGATCATCCTCAGGGATTTTCCCCAGTCCATCGTCAATAGCCCATTGTGCAGCTCTAGTAAATAAAGTAGTAAATAAACTACAACAAAAATTAACTTATAAATGGTAACTGTGTAATAATGGTAACTGCACATCCAGAGCGCTGTCATCAACATCTGAGAGTTTTGTTCTCCCCCAAAAGTGCTCGCAGCTACATGTATGAAAGTTCAAATTCTGCTCTTACGCAAGGAGCGGAATACACAGAGACATTGACGTCAGCGCTCGCTGTAAAAACTTGCCACAATTCGCAAGTTAGCATTACGTTTAAGGCAAAACAAACACATAATGCAAAATCTCTTTATCACATTCTTCACCTTAAGTTACGTTTCTTTAACCTTGTATTGTAGTCGATATTGAATGTCTCCTTTACTTTGTATTGTAGTCGGTAGTGTAAGTCACCTAAACCCTGTAATGTAGTCGGTAGTGAATGTCTCATTCTATTTTTTATTGTAGTCGGTAGTGAATGTATCATTCTCTTTTATATTGAAGTCGGTAGTGTAGGTCTCCAGAACCTTGTATTGTAGTCGGTAGTGTAGATCTCCAGAACCTTGTATTGTAGTCGGTAGAGAATGACTCCTTTACCTTATATTGTAACTAGTAGTGAATGTCTCATTCTCCTTTGCTTTGTAGTCAGTAGTATATGTCATCTTACACATTTCCTTCCGCTTAATACAATGTGCTCCCGACGCATTTCCTTATACTTAGTAATACTGAAAATTTAAATTAATTCACTAAATTAATATTTATTTAAAATTCATGCACCAATTATAGAATTCTTGCCCTCACTATGCATTTATAATATATTTAAAAAACAAATTTTTCCCATAAAACTGATTCTATTTTCTGATAATATCGCTTCTGTAATTAATGATCTGAAAAAGAGCATTTACATTCTTAAAAATTATTCTTCGAAACTGCTGGAGGGAATATGTTTATAAAATAAACAACAGAGAAACTATACTTTCAGCAACGAGAAAAATAACCAAAACATCTTAATTTTTTGTTTTTGTTTTTGTTTTATCAAATCATTAACTTCATTGAAATCTGTTATTGCTTGTAATGTTCTAAGAACGATTTTCTTTTTATACCTATGGCCTTGAGCAATTAATTGAAACAAGTGCAATCATACCGTTATTTATTAAGTCTTGAAATAAGTTTAAAATATGTAATTTTAATATTTTTCTTTTTAAACTAAAATAAAATCCTCAGGGGAAATTCGCTTAAGAGTTGTAGTTAAATTATCATGTTTTGTTTTCATTATGTTTGTATTTTTCACATGTACTTTATTTTTATTTAAGTTTTGTTTATTTGAAATTGAGACTCTTTAAATTTAATAAAATGGCTTCAGTTTTGTTGGTAAAGAAGGCATAAAAAAGAAATGTTAAAAAGGAAAAGTTAAAAAGGAAAAGGAAAGTTTGTAAATTATTTAAAAATTGCAAAGAATAAAAGATAGCTGGAACATAAGAGCTGCATTAAATATAAATATAATAATTCTTGTTAAATTTTTAACTTAACCTGTGTTACAATCACTTTGCAAATAAACATCTGAAATCATTCTATAGAAAAGTATTTCTATATTTACTTTGTATTAGTAGTAGTTTTAAATAGATTAAGATAAAGTGTTCCCGGGTTTAAATAATGGTTGAATACTTAGTAGAGTTTTAATTGGATATAAATTATAAACTATTTATATAAATTTTCTGTTTAAAGTTTGTTTAAGGGTTATTTCATAAATAGTAAAATGCAATTCGTAATTGCGAAACAGTTTAAAGTTTGTATGTTTAATTAGTTTCGTATGTTTAATTGCGTCATATATTTAATTGGAATTATAACTGTAGCATATTAATTGAAAATATGAAAGTAATTTATAAGATTCGAAACATTGATTGAATTGATTTTTCTTCTTCATTTATGGAACTATGAAACTAAACACTGTATTTATGCATTCTTGATCCATTTTAATCATATTTAAATTTTAAAATCATTAAATAGAGTATTGTTGTTGTTAATTTACGTCGCACTAGAGCTGCACTTAAATAGAGTGAAACACAGTGTTCTAGAATGAAATTACAAAAAGGTACCAAAAGTGAAAAAAAAAGGTTGACGAATAGTGTAATGGAACAAAATATTCTTCTCGAAAGTTTCATTCAAATTTTTGATCCAATTGCTCTTCAAAGCTGGATTTTAATTCTAAAATTTTGCTCCTTAGTCACTGACCAAGTCTTCTGGGAATCTTTTCCTATTTTGAAAAATCTAATAATTTAGTTAATTGCCCTTCTTACTTTTTATTCTTTTCAAGTGTTTGAAAATCTATTTTTTGAATTTCCATAATTTGCTGGGACTGTGTAGCGGTCATGGAACTGGCCTTGGATCGGAAAGATTCAGGGTCCAAATCCCGGGCAAGACATGGAGGTTCTTTCATTCTCTGTACTATGTGTCCTTAGTATTGGAGCAACGTTGACCTTCCTAATATGGTGCTTATGAAAGAGTAGCCAACAAATCTGCCCAATAAAATGGCTTAATTGACAAAAAGTTAACACAGGTGGCCATTGGAAATTAAAAAAAGAAATAAAAAAGAGAGAAAAAAAATCCCCTCCTACCTTAACTACTTCTCCACTTTTTTGATCATGTTCCAACCATTTATACCTATCCTATTTTTTTTTATCCTTTTATTGTAACCTGCTTGTAATTTTCCTTCACATTCCTGTGATTCCCTCTTTGTGTCTTGGCACTACTATTGAAACTGTAGTACGTCTGTTCAGGTAGAATTAGTTGTATTTTTTGTTGTTCAGCTTTATTCATTTTACGCACTGGTGATTTAGTAAATGGGCAAAATTGGGAGATAGTTTCTCCCCAATACTTTCCCAATCTAATAACATGGAAAAACAGGTTTTGCTATGCGAACAAGACTGCAGGTTAAAATAAAAAAATTTTCGTGTAAGGCAGTCAGTGGGTTTAATCATATCCTTACCTCGATCATATATCATATTTATCTGAAACTATTTGTGCTTATTACTATATTGCTATATTAAATTTGGGCATATGTCTTTTTATTCACAGCTCCTCCGCCACCACTGATCGAAGCACTTGATTGTGATAGTTGTACCTCAATTTGTGATTTTACTCCATTATGTCCAACTACAGGTAAAAATTTCTAGCTAAAATATAGTTCTGTATTTTGATATTAATGTTATATTTCGCTATTTAAGAACATCACTTGAAGATCAAGGAAAAACGATTTATGTCCGAAAAGCTGATTTTTAAGAAAAAATGATGAAAACATGAGGGCAGGAACTGTTTTACGTGACCACGGCCCATCTTCACTGGTAATGACTCTCGAGGAGAACAAATTTTTTAGTGTTATTGATTTTCTTCTCATTCTCCGAATTACTAAAAATCAACAGATGGCTATAGACAAAAGCCGTTCTTACCCACTGATCTTCAATTATGAAATTTTAATGCATAAAATGTTGCACCTCACCTGTTGTTTGTAGCTCTATATATGACTATGGCTACGAGGTTAAATCATTTCGAGTAGGGGTTCGATATAAAAATTTAGCTTTAGCCTTGACTTAAAGTATTAAAATTTCTCCATAATAAAAAGTGCTTTTTTCTTATTTCTATTGCAGCAGACAGCACCAGACTTTAAGGTGGGAGGAGTTCTTTGTTAAATTAGAGAGTAAAGTCTTTCATTAGTTTAGAAATTTTGTAATAAGAAAAAAAGTCACTTTTCCTATATAGTTTTTATTATTATTATATGGGCATCGATGGCTCAAAGGATAGAGCGTTCGCCTTCCAATGAGGTGAACCGGGGTTCGATATCGACGATAACTGGTTGATACAAATTCCGCACTCGGTTCTCACCGATCACAGTGCCACCATAAAAATATCCTCTTTGGTAGACGGTTTATGAATTAGCATCCCCTTGCCGTCAGGCTAACCGTGGGAGATTTTTGTGGTCTTCCTCTCCATGTAATGCAAATGCGGATTTCCACCAAAAAGTCCACCACGAAGTCAAATTTATCCCAATACTTGATCCAGAAGTTCCCTTGTCTTCTGGATTGGATTCAAAACTACAAGGCTACTGAGTTGGACATTAGTAGACGCAAACTCAGAATTGGCCATCTGTTCAATAAAATAAAATATAGTTTTTCGAAGTGTTTTTGTTGCAGATGTATTAATATTTAGTACGACTTCACATTCACTTAAAATGCTCTCATGTGAGAATTGGTGAATCAGTTGTATATATTGTGACGTGCACTCCTCTTACTTCCCTTAGTTACTCTAAATGGTGGCTCTGCTATTGTTGCTCTATTGCTTACTCTATCACACATATTCACTTTTCATTTAGGCTAATTTTATATCTTATCCTAATATTTATAACATTTCTTTACCATACACTCATGTAAAAGAATGGTGTTATAGTGCATGTTGTATTGATGGTATGCTATGGTTTTTTATTGAAGTGATTACACAGAAAATCAACTGAATATATTTTTTCTTTGAGCCTTAGAACTTTTATGTATGCACCTTTTAAACAATCATTGTACATATTTATTAGTTATTCTTTGGCTCTATTCCGCGTTATTGAAGTTTACATTAAATAATTCGCATATTTTAGTAGCGTAGTTTGCTTTAATTGAACCCCACATTAGAATTCTTTAACCAAAGTTCTATTTTATGAATTTTAAAAGCGAAATTTGCAATCTTTTTTGAGAATTTGCATATTTTCACATCTTTCAAATCTGAAGTATTGAATTTTTCAGACATGCACATCACGCAATCTGATTAATCATTTGAAAACATTACATTACTCTATGCCAGAGAATGCGTAATGCAGGATATAAATAAAATAATCTAGTGATAAGGAATTACAGTTAAAGAAAGATAAGACAAGAACGTGAAGTTTATGGAAATATTATATGATGAAAGTATAAAGGAATAATAATATAAAGAATTATAAGATAAGAAAATGGAAGATAAAAAGTAATATAAGTTAATAAAATACAAGAAAAAAGGAAATATAACGTAACGAAAATTATAAAGAAATAGAATTAAAAAATAAGGGACTTCAGTAGGATAATTATTTACAAGATAAGGAGTTTCAAGCTGAAGAATTAAATTATAAGTATTTAAAGAATAAGAAATATAGGATAAGTAAATATAAGGTTAGCCAAAATATGAGAGATTATAGAATGTTATAAAATATTTTATGATAGTTATGAACCAAAGACAAGTTTTTAAAAACTGCGGTTAGCAAATAATAATTTAATACTTAGAGTGTTTAGTGGTTTAATATATTTTTCACCTGATTGTATTTTAGAATAAATATATAAAATTAAAATAAAAAAATTAAAATACATTGTAGATGTTTAAACATTTACTTTGAAGAATTTGATGTGTATTTGAGTTCATAATATACTTTCTTTTACGCTTTCTCATGTTTTTATTAAATGTAATATTGATTCTATTTTTAAATAGTTTTTTTCTCCTTGAATCCTTCTTTTTCAAAAGTCTTAAGGCTGATAAACCGTCTTTGTAAAAGGCACACAATTCTGCATATGTGTGTGCCATTGAGGCTTAAATATTAACCCTTTGCGGTCATCTGTCTACTGTCAGACACCAACGTTTTTTTACCGTTCCAGTCGTATGTCTGCTCTCAGCCACCACAGCAAAGATGTTAGTCACAGGGTAATGGCAAATATTGCGGTACTGTGAATTTGTGAGGAGTAAAGATTGTTTTGTATGTACAAACAGAAAAATTAAAGGCGGAAGACGCCTAACTAATTACTTTTGCGACATATGTTCTCGTAAACCAGGGCTTCATATTAGAGACTGCTTTTAAAGATACCACACGATGGAGAACTATAAAATGTAATTTTTACATATAATTAAAAAATACTGTGTTACAAATATCTAAAGTTTAAAAAATAATTAATACATTTTAATTTTCCTTCATAATCTTGCGTATTATTTATTACTGTTCGTTCAATAAAAATTACTTCTGGCTGAAATGACACCCATGTATAAACTCGCAAAGGGTTAATATCTATTTTCAACTGTATGAATACTTTAAATGTTTCTTGATATTTTTTCACAAACAAAATCTTTATTTGATTTCAGGAAAAATAGATCCATCACAAACTCAAAATATGCACATTGGTACAATGGGGATTTCTCGTCACTCTCTAACAACAGAAAGTGAGTATGAATTCAAATGAGGTATGATAAAAATGAGGCACAATATTACACCCTTAAAAATGTCTATTGTTTCCGTGAATTTGAAAGTTGATTAAAATATTGTCTAAAAAGCTCAAGTAGCAATTTTAAACTTCTACCTTTGGGTAAAACATAACTCTATATTGGATGATTACTAGTCAGAATACAAAGAAGAAATACTGACATCACTTCGAAGAACTATTTGCAATTCGGTTTATAATAATTTAAATAAGAGAGGCAAGATAAAACTTGGTCAATATAACAAAATATTAGTTTTTACTGAAATATTACAATCATACATTTGAGTAAGCATAACATCCTATAACATAAATGCAAATAATCAAAGTGACCATCATCTTTGGCCTTAATGCAGATTTGCGTAAACGTGTCAAAATTCTTTTTTTATGTTTTGCATTTTACTTACTGATATTCCCATTACTGCCAAACAAATTTCTTAGAATTACAAATTCTTTAACGGTACAGAAATCAAACTTTTACTTACAAGGCAGGGCAAACTGGAAAATTCATTGAATTTGAGTCTGGTGAATAATGTGGCCTTCATTGTGCTGTGAAAAACAGAAAAAAATGTTAACTCTTTATGTTGCAGCATATTCTTGTTTGATGATCCAATTTTGGCTTACAGAAGCTTATATGATCTAGGTGACTAACAACTATTAAATTGAGAGATTTAATTATTTAGTTTCAAAATTTGTGCAACTACGAGTTATTTCAGGTCATCATGTCGCATATAATCTAATAAAACTTTCAGAAAAAAATTTAAATTTCAAACTAAGTTAATTCAAGTCAATTAAAACCAAATCTAATTTATATTTTGTTAAATTTTATTTATTTGTGTGATCAAAAACTATTTCAGCTTTGGATTTGGTCACAGCCTGCGTTTGTTAATTATAGTACTGAAATCTTAAAGTTAATTTGCACGATAAATAGCACTCTTTTGTACATGTATTTATTTTTATGATACGATTTTTGTGCATTTTAAAAGTTTATATTGGGTTTATTAAATTTTAAGCTATCATGTTTATTAAAACAGGGAGTGAGTAATTTGACAACATGTGTTACTTATTGTGTTTTGTATTCTTTAGATTGTATGGTACATCAACTTGGAAAACCAGTTTTTCAACGTTCCTCAAAGCAAGAAGTGGGTGCCTGGTTTCAAGATGCCTACCCGGGTAGTTCTAACACGAAATACTACGCTATTTATGCAAACGAAACCAACCGTGTTTATGTATACAATAACAGGGATGACTTTCGAAACAATAACTTCAGCCGACAAATTGACCTTACCTTCGATTTTTCTGGAACATGCAGCGTAGTTTACAATGGTTCATTCTATTATCTTCAAGAAGCCTCAGATGTAATCATTCGAAAAGACTTATCAAACTTTCAGGCTTTTTCAGGTGGACCTTTTAACGATTCTTCAGGCTCATATCTTTACAACACCGAGCTGTGCCGTATGGACATAATGGCTGATGAAAATGGAATCTTCATTGTCTACCCATCAAATAACACAAATAACACAATCGTTCGAAAATTAGATCCATTCAGTGTTAAAGGGGAGTTAATGTGGAATTTAACATTCCCTCATAACAGTGTGGGTGAAATGTTCATTGCGTGTGGTGTGTTGTACGCTGTAGATTCTGTTACAGCTCTTAATTCACACATCAGATTTGCGTATGATTTGTATCAGAACAAAGTGCTGGATGTAAATATACCTTTTTCGAACCCATTCCGTAATAACAGTATGATATCTTACAATCCAAAGCACCAAAAAATATATACATATGATAAGGGTAACCAGCTTTTGTATCCTATACTGTTTGGATCCATAGATATGGGGCAACCCGAACAGAAAGACGATGTAAAAAGAAGAAAGTGACTCTTGTATAATCTTTTATTAAATAAAGTTTTAAGCTTGGTATATTTTCCGATAACGGTTTCGTAAGTCATTTCTTACATTGTTTTTTAATTGAATCTGTAGAAATTTTGTAAAGAAAAGATAAAATCTAATGTACGCAATTTCTATTAAAAACAACACCTTGACAGCGATATTTTAACAACACAACATTTTATTTTTTTTACTTTATAACCGTTGTTGAACAGCCGATTCAATTTTCCGGTTTACGACTATTAATGTTCAACTTCTTAGTCTCTTAATTTTGAACCTAATCCAGAAGAAAAGTGAACTCATGTATCAAGTATTGGGAGAAATTTGCTTTCGTGGAGGACAACACCACAACATTTTTAACCGTCGTTGAATAGCTGATCCAATTTCTTGGGTTTACGACTATTTATGTTCAACTCCGTAGCCTTATAATTTTGAAGTCAATCCAAGACAAGGAAATCCTGGATCAAGTATTGGGAGAAATTTTGCCTCTGTGGCGGACATTTTGATGAAACCAACCCGCATTTGCGCTACATGGATAGGGGAATCACTAAAACTTACCACGGTTACCCAGACGGCAAAGGGTTTCTAACCCAAGATCCGTCTATCACTGAGGATATTTTACTTCAACACGGTGATCGATGCAAACCGGAAGCGGAATTCGTATCGACCAAGCATAGCTGGGATTCGAAACTGGTTCACCTCATTGGAAGGCGAGCGTTCTATCCCCTGAGCCATTGTGGCTCTATAGCGCAGCATTATCATTAATAAAATTGGACTTTCGGTTCCTTTGAGAAATTCCTGAATCGTACAATCGAGATTTTTTCTACCTTTCAATCAAAATACGGCAAAAAATACATTAAAAAAACTCTCTAACTTGTTCCAGTCTACGGTATGTGGAAGATGAGGTTGGAACAATAATGTTCCTTTGAGGTTCAGCAACTGAGATGAAGAGCTAGTTCATACAAGCGCAGAATTCTCACGCGACATATTCTCTAGCCAGCTTTCTTTCAAGCAGTTTATCAAGGACATGAAAGGCTGCATTTGTTGCACACACTCATTAGCAGTTATTAGAGAGACTTAACTCTTTCATACCGCTTACCAATGCTTACGCATGAGTGTTTTAACCTGCGTAGTTACTACGGTTCTATACAGACCTTTCAAATGTTTGCGCACGAGTATTCTTAGGAAGTTCTGCAGAAAACCGAGATAGTAATGCAGTAGCGATATTACGTAGATAAATCTCTAGAGTTTTTTTTTCCGCTCAGAAATCATTTTACAGTTAGGTGGTTTATCGTAATTTTCTTCCCAATTTCCCAATGGTTTAGGTTATATGAGATCAGGAAGCATTGAAAACAATTTGAAAAAAAATGAGACATCAATAACATCATTTATTAAAAATTAACACTTTAAATTTTGTATTCAAAATACGGCTTTAATCTTCAACATGACGGAGCACATGATCGCTAAGCATTAAAAAGTTATGTGATCATTATCACATAACTTTTATTGTGTTACGCTTTTTTTATGTGCTTATCATTATCCGACTTTGAATATTACTATACTTCCGTCAAACTCTCTGAATCGTTGAGATAGCGGGGTTCAAATTCCCTCGTAACTGTGGTGTCTCTTCTTGCTGTCTCTCTCTAATTTGATTTATCTGTTGCTCATTTTTAAAAGAGTTTATTAGCCGTTATTTGAACTGAAACTGCATATGTATGTGTAACAAAATGGTAGGTAGGTAGATACTGTAATTGCGTTCCACTAGAGCTGAACCATGGGCTATTTTAATCTTATTTTATAACCATCGATAAACAGCTGACCCAATTTTGGGCTTATGACTACCAATGCTCAACTCCGTAGTTTTGTGTCCCGCAGTGGACTGATCGTTAAGACACGGTTCCCAGCAGATCACCGAAGTCAAGCATCAATACCTGCGGTCAGTGCGTGGGTGGGTGACCACTTGGATCAGTCTGCGTAGGGACCGAGGGTGTGCGATATTGGTCATCGTTAAACTGTTCTACCGAAAAAGGCTCGACTTCACGCGCACGTCGGCGGGCTACCGAAGCAGGAGTGCCATGCTCTCTGCAGAGGATCTTTGGATCATCCTCATGGATGTTTCTCAGACTTCACCAATAGCCCATTGTGCAGCTCTAGCTGGACGTAAATGAACTACAACAACAACTCCCGTAGCTTTGTAATTTTGATCCCAATCCAGAATAGAAAAAAAACTCCTATTTCAAGTATTGGGAGAAAATTGCCTTCTTAGAGTACTTTTTAATGAAACTATGCTTCACATGTGGAGGAAAACCATGAAAACCTAACACATTTAGCCTGTCGGCAAGAGGAGAGGAAGACCAGGAGAACCTTGCACGATTAGCCTGACGGCAAGGGGACTCAAACCCATGATCCACCACTGAGGATATTTTACGTCAGTACTGTGGTCGGTGAGAGACGGGTGTGGAATTCCTATCAACCAGCCATCGCTTGGATTCTAACCCGGTTTACCACATTGATAATCGAATGCTCTATACCCAGATCCACCACGGTTCATACAATGGGATATTGATAAAAGTCTGGGAAACATCCCTGATTACGATCCGAAGACATGCCTTCACAATTTTGTTCGTCAGCAGAGGGGACGGCAACCTCACTTTGGTAGCCTGACGACCTGCACGCGAAGTCGTGCACTTAACGGTCGAACAGTTTAACGAGGATCGATAACCACACACTCTCGGTCTCTTCGAAGGCTGATCACATTGTTCACCCATTCACTTATTGACGGCAATCACTGATGCTTGACCACTGGTGTTTTACTAAGAAGTGTCTTTACGATCAGTCCACTGAGGGAGGCGTAATAATAAACAAAGATAGGGCTCAAAGGTCGAGTTGTTTCGTTATTCTGGTAAAATCTTTGTTGCGTTGAGGTAGAGGGTTCTAATCCTGCAATAATCTTGCTTGTACTTTTATGACGCCCATCTCTAATGTATGTCATCTGTGCCTAAACTTGACATGAGCTTCTGAGCCCTACTCTGTTGTTGTTGTTCATTTAAGTAGCGCTAGAGCTGCACATTGGCGTCGGTCAAGGAAACATCCCTGCAGATCCTCTGCGGAGGCGTATACTTCATCCTCTGCAGAGGGGATGGCACCCCCACTTCGGTAGCCCGACGTCCTGCACGCGAAGTCGAGCAGTTTAAGGTAGAACAGTTTAACGAGGCCCAATACAGTCCACCCTCGGTCCCTACCCAGACTGATCGAAGTGGCCACCCACCCGCACACTGACCGCAGATGCTTGACTTCGGTGATCCGCTGGGAACAGTGTCTTAACGACCAGTCCACTGCGGGACGCCTTACTCTGTAAAAAGTACTTTATGTATGTTTGACAATAAGTAAACAATAACGAAGATTAAACATCATTAAAGTTCAACAATGCTGAATTAGATAATCAATAACAATTCTTTATAACTGAAGTTCTACTGTGTTTTTGGTATTTGAACACAATAAGAGTTTTAATATTTTGTTCCAAAAGTTAAGATGTAGCATAAATACATGAAAGTATTAGTTAAAGTTGTTGTTTTTAAAGCGTTTCTACAAAGTTGATAACAATTCAGGCCATGATGAATTACATAAACTATTAACTCCATAATTGACATGATGGTAAGTACTGTTTGCTTGCATTTTAGATATTTATTTATTTTATTAGTTCTTTCTTTAATAGCTCCTCCTATTATTGGCAAATTTAGCATAAATTTTAAAATTTACAACATATTTTAAACACAATCTGGTTTATTTTTTTCTGAATTTGAAAAAGTAGCATCTAAACCTATAAAAATCATAAGATAACAATAATTCGAGTTATTATTCGAAGTTAGTAAATTGACTAGGATTTGTTGCCTTTAGTTGCGAGTTTCAGAGAAAAAACTTTTTTGGGAAGTTTAGATAAATAATTTGCATGTATTGGAGTTTCTATCCCAGAATTATTCGAAATTTTAACCTAAGAAGTTCAGTGTTAGATTCTTGATATTGTTAGTTGCTCGTTAAATTGCATAAATATATGCAAAATTTTGATTTATGATTAAGTTCATGAAAAATACATTTAAGAATTTTAATTTAATAAGTCATCCCTGATTTAATTGCCTCTGGTTGTGACTTCCAAAAAATATTTTTCGTGATATTTTGATAAATTTTTAATCTATAATTAGTCTTAAACTTCGAGTTTTCTGAGTAAGATTCTTGAAGCAAATTTCTCAGTTTTGTATATCATCCTGTTCGATTTCGTAAAAATGTTTTCAAATAACTGAATTGCAATGGACATGTATGTCCCAGTGTCTGTGAAGTGCCCGCTTTTAACGTTAAAAAAATAAAATATTTTACGAGGATGCGCAGTTAATTGAAAACTTAGGTACAGGAGATAGCGGTATAAAACGCTTAACAATGAAATCTCTTTAATTGGGAATTATTTTGTTAAAATGTTTAATCCTGAATCACAAAATTAACTTAAAATTATAGCTATTTTGGTATTAAAAAAAATCGAATTTTTAAATCAGATTTATTTTTAAAAAGAACCCATTTTCCGTGATTTATTGTATTTACGATAAGTTGTAGTTTATAGCTGTGTTTTTCAATATGATTTACTCGAAAAACCAATAAAATGTTTCAGAGTTTAATTAAGGAACGGTATGGTTTGTAATTTAGACCATTGGCATAATTTTTGCATTTACAAACTTTTTGACCAATTCAATGATAATTTAAATAAATATTTTGACTAATTTGTTTCTCATCATTCACATACTATCTGAAATTAAAATTAATTTGCGCTAAAGCCTATACGAATATAAATAAAATGCACAGCCAGAATGCATCGGAGCTTCTGAACTGTTTCTTATTTAATGTAAATATTTTCTTCATATTGAGGGGATCTCCGTTGTCAGGAAAAATGTTCAACCTGTTCTGTTACCAGATGAACTCTGCTTTGTGTATGCTCCATGAATTGAAAAACCTCTTGTTCAGGTCAAAATTGCGATGTCTGGATGTATGAATG